GATAGGCGTGTGCACAGGCAGAACTATGTGTTTCGCAGAAAGAATACAAGTAATTGGGTGGCAGATATAGGCGAGGAATGATCTGTTGAGGAAAGATCGCGATCCTAAATGTCGAATGCAACAAAACAAAGTATGATACAATGGATGCAATGAATAAGGCGTAAGTCGAACCACATTTTACTTAGAAAAGATATGGACAAAAAACAGACCACGTCAAACACAGAAAAGGTGTCGAAACCCTCGAACCACAATTCTCTTAGTAGAATAAGCGCGTACACATTATCACAGAACCATGCTTCAACGAATGAAATGTATGAGTACATGCCAGACTAAGCTTAACATGGAAAGGATGCAAGCGATAAAATGGATAATGCAGTAGATGATGCGACAGATGCTATATACAATGCAATAGACGTAATAGATAATGATAGATAGCTAGGAAGTGAAGGTACCTTATAGGGGCAATTGGCAATGACTCGCCTCATGCTGCTGGGAATCTTCCTCTTCTACATCTTGCATTTCCGAACCATAGGTACTACTTTTCTCCCTGGCTATGTTTGCAACTTTCTCTATTCTCCAACAGGGTGATAGACTAGGTTGGTTCAGTATCAAGAATTGAGGCGCATACATGCTACCTCAACCTATGGGGCTACCATACAGATTTCAAGCCGAGGATACACCCTTGGGTATTTAAACCTGACTTTAGTCTCGGAAATCCTGAACCTTTGCATTCTAGGCATCAATCATTCGAACTGTCGTTTCTACCGCCTCAGTTGATCTCCTAGGAACTCACTGCAAACACAGGCAGGTGGCTATACTAGACCACTGGAAGTCGTTCAGGCACGACAAACACCAAAGGAATTGCACCTTTAGAGGATTTAAGGTCTCCTAGATCAGATGAATGCACAAAACAGTGCTATACAGGTGCACAAGACAGTGTGATGCGCAAGTGTAGACACCCCATTTTTGACCGTCCTCAAGACTTGGACGTCACCGTTTGAACACCTGGTGATCATCCATGTTTGTGTTTGTTTGGAGTTCCCGGAGGCCTCGGCTACGTGCCTTGCCTCAGGATCTCCGAACTCGACCGTTTAGTGTCTGGTTTTGTACCAAACACTTGTGTTTTTCCTTGGAGGGGCAATGAATGCCTTGTGAGGCATCCCCACACATCACCGGCCATGGCCAGAGGCCACCGGCTAGTGTTTTGATGCCATCGGCAATGTATATTGTCGGTCGGCATTCTTTGTTGCCGGTCGGCAGTCAATTTCGTCAAAATGGAAATTTTGTGCAGCTGACTACTGTTCATCTGCTTTTGCAGATATTTTAAGACAGTTGTATGTCATTTTGTTCCCCTTCATACACGTGTATGGAGGGATGCACTCCATGTTAGCTTACCTTGTAAGCTTTACAAGATTGCCTCCTCTATAAGAGGAGCCCTCATCTCTTGGCTCTAGGTTAGACATTTTAGAGACAAGAGACAAAAAAATACAGAGGAGAGCTCTGGTTTTAGGGTTAGGGTTTGATACACATTCTATCTCTCTTTCTCTCTCTTGAGTATTCTAGGTGCATTTGTTCTTAGTATTGTACACAAACACACACTACTACACATTTTCTTGGTTCCTTGAAGGACCATAGGTTGTTCTTGGTGTTCTTGGGTGATTTTGAGCTTGAAGAACCAGCTGGTCCACCATTTTTGAAGAAAGTCTTCAAGGGTAAGAAACTAGCGCTTTTATTCCCCATTTTTGCATCTTATTTTTGCCTATCTTAGAACTGTTTTTGAGCTTAGTGTATAATACAAAAAAGTTCTGTTTTTACGCCCTCTAAATTGTTTGTTTAGAGTGTTTTGTGGTTTGAGGTTGTTTGACCCCTCCTAAGCCTTGTAAGGCTCCATTTTGTGCTATTTTGTGTAAGCTCCTAGACCTTGGTGTTTGGGCCTCCTCACCACTGAAATCTTGAGGGATTTCAGAGGTGAGGATGGTGCCTTGAGGTCCCAATAAGGAGAGGGCCACCCCCTCTCCTTGTTGTCCTTGAAATGGACCATTTTTGGCCTCTTGAGGGAGCACCTAGCTAAGCTTCTTGTTGACCATGCCACTACAACAAATTGGGTCTTGGATGACGAATTTTTTTTGTCTCCAAAGAACTAATTTCGTCACTATAGATATTTGTGAGGAAATATTTTCGTCACCGGTTTCGTCATTGAATGTTTGTCACTAAAAACCACCGTGACGAAAAATCATTTCGTCACCAATGAAATTACTTCAGTGACGAAATTTTTTGTCACCAATAAAACAACATTTTGTCGCTAAAAATTCTCATTTTTGTCACTAAATAATTATTCTGTACCATATTTATAGTTTTAGTTGACGAATAAATTTGTCCCCTATGTTGATCATTGATGAGGAAATAATTTCGTCACAGAAAGATGTGAAGGTGACAAATTTTCGTCATAGGTGACAATATATTTCGTCGCAAATATATATATATACGTGACGAAATATATTTCGCCACCAAACAACAAAATCAATAAAAACTTCCATATATAAACTGCAATAAATTTTGTCACAAAAAATGTTTATTAGCGACGAATAATCACTTTGTCATAATAACAAGTATAAATGACAAAACAAATTTGTCTCTAAACTTGTTCTATATTTTATATTTCAATTTCAATTTCAATTATTATTTCACAAATATCGATGCTCATATTCCAATAGCCTTTTAATTGTATTAAGAAATCTACTAGCTATTATACATCACTCCACACAAACATTCACTAAACAATTTATATTATAAATCAAAATATATCCATCAAACAACTTTAATAATATAAACCATTAAGTATAACAACAAAACCATCATAACAAATTCTAAAATGAACTATCGTGGAGTCCACAAAAAAAAACAAAAATAAATAAGACTTGATCTTGATTTACAACTAGAACTAAGTATTAGTCTAGGAAAAAAAATTCAAAACTTGATCTTAATTTGCAAGTATCCTTCCATATGTCATCAAAAACCAATCTGCAAAGAAAATAAACAAGAAAAACATTAGAGATATAGAAGGGGCATTCCCCAGGCCTTACAAAAGCAAACTAAAAAAAGTAGAGCTATACAAGAGAAACAAAACCAAACAGATAAACTACACTAAATAAACTATAAAGAGAATCATCCTAAAATAAGCCACACAAAGGAATGTTCATTTGCCACATGAGGAAACAAGAACATTCAATAGAGTAGCCAAAAACAATACAAAATACACTTGCACAACCCTTAAGAGAGAAAAAGAAAGCAAAATTAGAGAATAAACCCAAGAAAAGCGTTGCATAAACAGCACTAGCAGCAACAACACAGATACAGCTGCAGCTTTCTTCCTTACTCTCAAGTTGACGCTTTTTCTTCCTCAAGCTACTGAAACACTTACATGGATCCACCCAAAAGGAAAAGCCGAATATTTGTCTTAGACTTCAAAAATTTCTTCTTCATTCAAGGTCTGACACTGAACATTAAAAAATGTATTGATAAGTATCATTCAAATTATCAGTAGCTACAAATAAAAAATTGCAAACGTGAAACCAATGGCCCACATGGACACTACATGACATGCTGCAGGTATGGGGTAGGACTCGACATCAATGACACACACAGAAGCTTTCTATAAGATTTGATGCCACTGTTGTGGAACGGCTATGACTGAGAGTTACCTCAGACTTTTGAAGTGTTTTCACAACAACAACAACAACAACAACAAAAAAAAATTATTCTACTGTTATTTTTTTTTTTCAAATATCAAGAGACTAACCACGATATTTTGCCCATGTTTTAAAATCGCAACTTATCAAAAACTATTTTCATCAAAACCCTTAACTTAAATTGCTTTCTTTCATAACCACCTCACCTCCATTTTAGGACACATTAACCAGTGAGGAATGTTGCTTCATTTGTATCGGTGGCAAAAGCATGATAAATATATCAAAATGGAAAATGGGACTATTCTGGCTTTTTTAGATATCATATCACTTAATCATAGAACCTTAGTTCTACCAAAAAAATACCAAAGTGGTACTCGATTTGCAATTAGCTATTCATTAGTTTCAAGTTGACAACATCAAAAACTAACAAAGCTGAAATATCAAGACAGAAATATACAAGACTTAAAATTAAAAAGAAAGAAGAGAAAGCAGGGGAGAACTAACAGCACCACAATAATTAACACAACACAAAAAAACTATCTTACCGAATCTGAAGTTGACTCTTGCTTTAGGACTATCAGTGTAGTGATATGGAACACCCTGTTTTTCTACAAAATGTGATCAAGTACATAAGTAACCACGAGTATAAAATATCTAAACATAGTTATCATTTTCTTTTTGTATTCACAAATCTTGTACCAATTACCAATGAACCAGCAAGAACACCACATGTTTCTAAATTTTTTGCAGTATTTTCTCGTGCCAATCTCAAAAAATCATCCATCATTTTTACTGGCTGCAATGAAAGTTAAATGAAACTAGCATCTTGTTCAGCAATAATAAAAAATCAACATAAAATGTTATGTAGGCATAAAATTGTAATCAAAACAGAAATTGCCAAAAACTGTGCGAATTATGTTGTCAGAGTTATGATGAAAATTCAGTACACAAAACCTTGGGTTACATAAGATTTGTGAATTATGCGAATTGTAGTGGGGAGTAAAAGCAAGAGTACCCTTGGGTTACATAAGATTAACGTTTATTGATACTCATGGTGCATGAAAGAGAGAATTCTCTTGAAATCAAAGAGTTTGAAGGAGAAGACACCCACTCTGATTTTGCTATGGAAACCTTGTGAGACTAAGTCTTTCTTCAAAACCTGCAAGTGCACAAACATTAAGACCTCGAAATTGTGTAGGCAAGTGATCATGATGCCATACAATATATACATAACCTGAAAATGGTTTTCCCAAAACTAAAGTTATAAACCAACTCGCACATTGCCAAAACTCATTTCCTCTAGTTGCAATTTCACAGAAATGAATGTCCCATGGAAGCAGTGACTCTAACGCTTCCTACGCAGAATCCTCCTTCCGTGGCCAATGAATGTCCCATGGAAGCAGTTATGATATCTACCTTCTCAATCTACACAACCAAGTACCAACACCATCATAAAACCACAAATTGAGAATTAATGAACTGACTAAATCTAAAATATCTTCAAAACATACCGGAACCCCATATTGCTCGGTGATACCTCTTCCGGAACTGCCAAGCACACCAAAAGAGTTGCTCTTATCCAATAAGACATGGAAACGATATTTCTCCTTCAGTCGGATGATCTCATCTAATGGAGCAATTTGACCTAAATTCTGCAAATTGAAGAAATCTGTCAAAACATTAACATTTCCCAATCTTGCACGGGAAACAGAAATGCAGGGTATACATGATAATATGGTATTAGTAAATAAGCAAACTGTTAATTGTCAATACTAGTCTGATGAAAGCTACAAGATATGTTATCAACATAGTAAAATTAAAGCATAATTGCCAAAAGATACCTGGTACACAACTTCAACCACAATATAGCGCCTTAGCTTCTTAGCTCGCTTATTTTCTACAGTAACTTTCTCCGAAGTACTTTGTAGAGACTCCATGTAATTGTGCTTGAAATACACAATTGTACTTCTGGAAAGATAAAGGCCATTTTGTATTCCCCAGTGGACACCCTCATCCCTAAAAAATTCCCACCCCCAGCCCAAATAAATAAATCAATAAGAAAAGCTCTAAAATAGAGAGAAAAAAAATTAACCTCATATACATGGCAGATTGCAAAGCCAAACCAATGCTAATTTTAAGGGACCCAAATAAATGTGCCAATAACTACTCATATTACCATGTATATGCATAAATGTTTCCAAAATACAAATTAATAGAGGTTCTCAAAAAACTAAACAACAAAAAGAGAAAGCAAATTGCCAATTGATCGTGATTGATCCAATATGGCACAACCATTTAAACCATTGATCAGCATCTTTATTATAGCTGAATGGCTTATTATAAGCTCATGATATAAAATATCCACAGCTTAATATAAACTCAAATGATTATATTTACATCAACAGAACACAGTCAGCTAATATGCAGTCTTAGCCCTCTTCGCTCTTTTCACAATCATATTACAGCAGGTAAATTTAGTCAAGAAACGATACAAAAGCAATAACATATCATTATGTTTTCATGATGCCGATCCTATTGAACAACTGTTGTGGGCAGTCGAGGCTTTGAAAGCTGGGGGGATGAACAAGCAACAGATATCCGCGGTTGTGGCAAAAACTGTGGAGGATGCTTTCCCCACTCCACCTGAGGGTAGTTCAAGTCAGTCGGAAAATCGGGATAGGCCCCGTCATGCCAGAACAGTTTCTCCTATTCCCGTCCCTACACTTGGGAAAGATCAGAGAGCCAAGGCAGCGCCTGCCGACCCTTTTGCTTGTGCAGCTAGTAAGAACGCTCAGACTCCGAAGTACCTGCCCCGAGGGCGCAGGGTCTTTCATGCTCTTTACATGCCCCTATCTAAGGCACTTCAGATCCTTGCCGAGAGGGAGCACCTTAAACCCTTGGAGCCTCGACCTCTCCCGAAGAATCTCCCTGCTACGCATGATGCTGCTCAATACTGCGCGTACCACCAGCAGACAGGCCATGCTACCGACAATTGTTTCAGCCTCCGTCATGAGGTCCAGGATTTGATTGACAACGAGGTTATCCTCCCGCCCACCTCAGCCAAGTCCGTTACCACCCAGTTATTGGATTTTGAGGACACAGATACTGCAAGTATGTAATCAGAAAGTGAACCACCTGCGGGCGGCATCTGGTATATTTTGGATATGGCGTCTGGCACGCATTTTTGAGCGTCTGTGAACGCTAGTTTTGTAAATTCTGGCTTGCATATCGAGCCAATCTTTTATTTTGAGTCTGTCTTTTTGTCTTGAGTCAGTCTTTTTTGCCTCAGGGTCTATCTTGTTGTAGCGAGTCAGTCCCCTTTGTATAGAATACCAGGTGATTCTGGGGTTGTTGCCTCGAACGTCGTTTTGTCTTGTAATTACCTATTTTTGTTTTTTTGAGTCTGTTTCTGCCGAGGGACCAGTTACACCAACAAATCTGAATGAAACAGCTGTGGCTACCTCATTTTCATGCTCGCTTTCAGTGTGAGTTAGTTGTGCCAGAGGATTTGATTAGGCTGACAGTACATCTCGCTTGCTCTCCTGTGCGCCAAACTCATTGCATTAGCCTAAGTTTTTCAAAAACACTTTTCGAACACTGCGGTGATGAAAACAAAGAGGAAGGAATTCCTCGGGTTTTGCAAAACTTTGATCAAATTGAGAAAAAGAGTGGCATGCTAAGCCTTTTTATGAACGAAATCATGCTTGTCGGCGTGAGTACTGAGAAGGACCCTGGCTTGATCCAGATTGGTCCCACACTATCTTCGGCGCGAGCAATTTGTCGCTTTCTTAAAAATTTTCAAAAACAAATGTTTTACGCGGCCCTGCGAAGACCTGTGTGGGATCGCTCTTGAGATTGTACAGCCTAGGATCGCTCTCAGCCTCAAGATTCGACCTGTTGTCTTGACCCTCAAATTCATTCGGAACATTCAATAGTCAACTGTCAGAGGAGGCCCGTGTGGCCAGTTTTGAAACAGCGCTCGAGCAAGAGGCACCGAAGGCGAGTCGAAAGGATTAGATCTCACCAAAAGAAGCTTGTGGAACAGCCATGACGGATTCTTCTGCAAGTCATTGCAAACAGTCGTTCTTCTAGACACAGAGAGGCTTCAACTTCAAAAACCATTTGGCATGGACTTGTTACACTTTTACCCTTTGAGAGACTCGCTGGGCCGAAAACCCGGAAGGGCGACCCAGGCAAAAGTTAGAGCAAGAGAAAAACAAAAAAAAAGAAGCGAAAAATACAAAAAAATAAAAAAAAGAGAAAAAGAAAGAAAAAAAGGAAATGCAAAAAAAAGAGAGAAAAGAAAAAGAAAAAAAGAAAATGAAAAGAAGCTCGCAAGGTCGAAAACCCGCATCGGGCACCTTGGCAAAAGTTAGAGCCTGAAAAGTGAAGGTTAAAATACCCGAGTGTACCTTAACCGGAACTACGTGAGGCTTGATTCCCATGTTTGGGATACGTAGGCAACTTCATCCTGAAGTCCAGCCCCCAACGCTTTCATAGCGTCTCGGTCCATGCAATGGTTTCAATTTCATCCCAAAGTCCAGTCGCCAACACTTCCAAGGTGACTGTGTCGATATATTTGTTATAACCGTCTTCGTCATCCCTATGTCCAGGAGTTCGACCACCACCAATGAAGACTGTTTGCGGACTGCTGCGGCACCATCCAAACAAGGGGCAACTTTCCGTTGCCACAAGTCGTCGTGAGACGCCATTCAAACCAGGGGCAACTTTCCGTTGCCATCCACCCTTTTCAAGCCAGGGGCAATTTTCCATTACCTCCGATCCGGGGTTGCGCATCTCAAAGAGTAAGTTCCATGCTCGTTGAGCATCGACTGTTTGCAAAATAGTTTTTGAAATTTTTTACTAAGGTTGACTATTTTCTCGGAAACTATTCCATTTTCCAAAACTAGACCATTTTCTTGGACCCAAAAAGGAAAATTTTCAGTGCTCACAGCCTGACTTGCATGGTTTTCAAATCAAAAATCGAACAAGTATGTTAATCTAACTCTTATGTTGGTCAAAACTGTTTTAGTAGAAAGCACAAACAAAAAATGGTTAAAGCGATAAACTAGGGGCACAGTTGAGTCAGGTGTTCTGTCTTTCCCCCGTCGTCAACATACTTACCAGAAGGGCAATCTACCCACCAGAAGAAATAGCTGTGAGCTAACGACATTGGGCATTAACCCGCAACTTCCTATTCATTCATTGATCACTCGGGGAGGGACGAAAAATGAGAGAATAAACAATAGAGAGGTGTAAGTTGAGAGAAAAAGCGAGCCGAGGGGTTTTGAGAGAAAAACTGAGCTTGAGTGCCAGAGTGATGTGAGAATCACAAATGAGAAAAGGGTGGGAAACAGTACCCAGAGAAACTGGCTCCTCGTGATTTAAGGTCCCCCGTCTTCGTTAACGCGTCTGTATGTCGTGTCTTTTGTTTTGTTTACCTCAACCTTTTGTTTTGGGTATTTTCCAAGCATGTCTCGTTGTGTTTAGGTCGTGTACCCTTTTGTTTGAGTCCTCCTCGCTGTGTTCAGTTGTAGGCTCAATACCCCGGTTGAAAACCCTTATTTAATTTCAAAAATCATTTATGCTCAGAGTGCTATGCCATTCTCTACATCTGGGCGAACCAAAAGAAGGAAGGGAAAATTTGGGGCATCCGAGTATGTTTCAAACCTAGCCGGTTTCACCTTTGAAGGCCGTCTTGTCAGATTGGGCTGTTTTGTTTAAAGTTTGCCGTGTGCAAAATGAGCAAATGCTGTGTTACGAGCTGTATGCAGATTAATCCCCAGTAGAGTAAGGGCTGTGTGTCCAGAATCAGGCAGTGGATTGCTTGGGTTATTTTTGCGGTTGGTTGTTTAGTTATCTGATTATTACAGTGCAAGTGTTCAATTTTCAGACAACCAATCAATTTCATTTACATTGAGGTGTAACATGGTATGATGCAATGCAAAGCATGAAATGTAAAGATATATGGATGTAAACACTTTTCAGATAAAAAGCCTGTTTCATTTCATCATCTTTTCAAGAACACAAGTTTTGGAAACAAAAATCTGCCTGCGGCAGTACAAAGTATCCTAACTACCAACAAAAGAGAAAAGTACAAGAAAGAAGAAAAATAACAAAAAATCTGTATCCGTATCAAGCGGCTCCGAGGGCCATCAGTCTGTCCTCGTCCTCTTCCTGGACGAAGGTCCAGGAGCATCATCAGCATCGTCATCAGAGCCCGAGCTAGAACTGCCTCCGGTCTCCATCTCTGATGACTCCGCCTCCGGCTCTGCCTCTGCCTCGGACCCGTCATCATCATCATCATCATCATCACGGGTCGGCGCCCGAGAACTACTCCCTACATGAGTACGTCTTCCCTTGGTACGGGGACGTGCAGTGTCTCCACGCCCCCCTCGAGCAGGAATAGAAGGCCCAGCCGGAGCACCACCCACCGGAGGGATCTGGAAGGGAGGCTGAAAAGCATAAAAAGCAAATACATCAGAATACCGTGAGCAGTGTGTCAGTGCAGAATGCAGTGTATGGGTACAGTGTGAGAATGCCGTGAGCAGTTTATCAGTGCAGAATGCAGTGTATGAGTACAGTGTGTGAATGCCGTGAACAGTGTATCAGAGCAGAGTACAGTGCAAAGCACAGTGTATGCAGTGTATCAGATGCTGTGAGATCAGTTTGTTAGGTGTTGTGTCGTGCATCAGATAATGTGAAGCAGTGTATGAGTGGTTTGAGACCATCACCAAAAGGGTATACCGGAATACTGTAGAGGGCCAGGAGGTCAAAGGTCCGCTGCAGCTTCCCCATCATGGAGGCATTCAACTCCACGGACTGTCGGGTATACTCGGAGGACGCCTGCAAGAGTATAAGATACATCAGTACTCCGCGGAATGTCAAATAAAATGAAATGAAATGCAGATACAAGATGCAAAATGAAGTAATACATACTGGAGGCAAGTCGGGGATACCGACTAACTCATGACCAGCCGGAGCAGGAGCAAAGGGGATCTGGTAGGTCGAACCATCCTGCCCTCTATATGACAGTACAGTGGGCAAGGCGGGCCAGCCAGTCCCCCGTCCCCCCTGAGCTCCGCTCCTGCCCTGCACTCGAGCGCTCCTCGATGTGCTCACTTCGGCCCCAGCTCCCGCTCCAGCTGCCGGCGCCGCTGGCCTCTCCCCCTCAGCTCGGCGACCACCGCTCAAGGGTCACATAATATAGGTCCGGACGTACTCTGCGTAATCGCCCTCGCCTCTGTGATGCTCTGTACCCCAGCCAACGGTGTAGTCCCTCATCTGCTGGAGAGAGAACCTCTCTGTATACCTCATATGCATAGGAGGTGGACCCAGAACTATCTGCTTCGATAAACCTAGGGTCTGACTCAAGAAACGCTCGCCCAGGTACCAAGCCCGACAGACCGGGCCCTCCAACAGAATCCGACAACGAGCAGTCTCCTCCGCACCCTCACAATGGTCCCTCACCACGGCCGGTAACGGAGCCCAGTGCTGCCAGGTGATCT